TTAAATTTCTAGAAATGATTACTATTTGAAATGGCAACAGACGATATTATATCATTTTGTACCTATTTTATCGATAGAACACTAAGTAGTAAGAGCCATATCAAAAATATAGTTTGTTTTTGTATATTAACATTCTTAACAGACCTTCATACGTCATTTCTGATGTAAAATTTAAAAATGTTGAATTTTTTTCGTAAAAGAAAACTTAAACTATAGACTTAAAAGTGAAATTAAGTTTGAGTGCTAAGTCTAGATTACAACCTACCATCTAACTTTTAAAATAAATATTTAAAAAAAAATCTGCATTAAATCTGAACTTACGTTATTCTATTATGATCGAAGGAATAATAATACTTTTATTCAGAGAAAGAATAAAAGAAAAACGATCAATGCAATTCGAAAACAAAACTTTTTCTATTCATAAAACAAATATACCATTCTTTTAAATTTTTGGAAATGATTACAATTAGAAATGGCAACAGACGATACGGTATCATTTTGCACCTGTTTTTATCGATAGAAGGGCATTAAATAATAAGAGCCATATAGGAAATTCTCCTGCTTTGATGACATGAAAATTGGAAGATGAGTTCCTATTATGAAGAAAGAAGAAAAAAATCTTCTTTAAAGAAGGAAGAAGAAGAAAAAAAATCAGATGAAATCTTGCCCACACGAAACTCTGATTACTGCTTTGATATCGGAAATAAGCAGTTTCTACGGCAGTACTTATCTTTAAGTATCTACTTATTTTGTAACGATGAAATGGAAGAAAACTGCATCATTTTCGAACTTTACTTAGACAAAAGAAAAGATAAATGAAGAAATCGGTGCAGTCTCACCAGTTAAAGTGGAGTTCAAAACATTAAGTTTGTTTGAGATAGTAGGGATTTATCCTGTAATGATGAAAAGTTTTATTATGATCAAGAAGTTTTATTATGACCAAGAAAAACAAAGATGTGTTGCGAAGCTCTTTGGCTGGTATTTGTTATATTCAAAAGTTTTGAATGTGGAGAGAGAGAAAAAATATAACAAATCAAATTAAACGAGATCTAAAAATGCTGGTAAATTTTGAGAACTTTTTTTGTTTTGAGAAATTTGATAGTCACGTTATAATTATGTTTTTGTTTTATGAACTTAAGTTTGATAAAGTTCGTTTATTTAGTTAAAATTACTTCAATTTATCGATTTTAGTTTTAAATCAATTTGAGACATTTTTCTTTTTCATAACAGACATTTGATGATGAGTCTACGGTACATTATTATATTTTTTTTTTATTATTCATTGCCTAGCAATTTTAAGCAGTTTAAAGCCTTGATCGAAGAGGGGAAAAACTTTAAAATCAAAACAATCTTAATTCAAAAATTCTCGAAAATTTTTGAATTCTTTTTTTTTTTACTAAAATTTATGGATCATGTATTAATGCAATAAATCAAATGTAATGAATCTACTTTCCAAATTAAGATTTAAAAAAATACTCAATGGTATTGTTTGGTAAAGTTAAGTTTGTTGAAAATTTTATTTAATCATTTTTATCTTTTAAGTCATAAAGATATTAACTGTTGGATAATTGATGTACTACTTTTTTTTTGACATTGTGACAACAACGCGGAAAAACTTTAACAAATCAAATTTATGGACCCAAATAGTTTTCTAAAATTTTAAGAGCCTTTCTTCTGATGGAATTAAATACCTGCTAGTGACGTCATCCTAGGTAAATCGTGGCATTTGTTGATTCATAAACCAATCAGGTTCGACAACATGCGTAACGACGCTTTCAAGTATACAATTAAATCTGATTTAAATCACATGGATAGACGTAATCACTTCACTTTGCTTTTCTAGTTGCAAGCACCCATTTGAAGAAATAAAGTTTTAATGTTAAAAAATATAACTTAGTTTTCGCTAACAAGAAAGCAAATATAATACACTTTCTAAAAAAAGATAAGTTTGATAAATTGAACATTCATTTTAAAAGGGTTTTAATTTTAAAATTGCCATTGTTAAACTCGATTCTCTTTGTGATATTTTATTATGACGTCCTGCTTATTTTTAAAAAAAGAAAATGAAAATTCTTTATTGTAATAAAAAAAACTTGGTTGGGAAAATTTTTATTATTTTTGTGCAGTTAAATAATTGTTTAATTCAAAATTTCTCAATAATTTTCATATTTTTTTTACGTATTTATTTTTTTTATTTATTTATTTATTCATTTTTTAAGACTGTTTAGTAATCCTTGAATGTGTGAAAAATTTCTGCAAATCAAATTTATTATTCCAAATAGTTTTCTAAAATTTTAAGTACTTTTCTATTGGATGAACTGAAAAAATAAAGTTTTAATATTAAAAAATATAACTTAGTTTTCGCCTACAATAAGGCAAACGTAATACACTTTCTAAAAATAAAAAAATAAGTTCGATAAATTGAACATTTATTTTGAAATGGTTTTATTTGGAAACTTGACATCATGCTTATTTTTTAAAAAGAGGAAAATAAAAATTCTCAGTAGTAAAAATGTCCTGATTAAGAAATTTTTTATTATTAAAGTAGTTAAAAATAGTCTCGAGTTGCAAGCACCCATTTGAAGAAATAAAGTTTTAATAAAAAATACAACTTAGTTTTCACTAACAAAAAGTAAATATAATACGCTTTCTAAAAAAAAGATAAATTTGATAAATTGAACATTCATCTTAAAATGGTTTTAATTTTAAAATTGTCATCGTTAAACTTCATTCTCTTTGTGATATTTAATTATGACGTCATGCTTATTTTAAAAAAAGAAAATGAAAATTTTCTATTGTTATGAAAAAACTTGATTGGGAAAATTTTTATTATTTTTGTGCGGTTAAATAATTTTTCAATTCAAAATATCTCAATAATTTTGAGATTTTTTATTTATTTATTTATTTACTTATTTTTTTCATTTATTTATTTTTAAGACTATTCAAAAGCCTTGAATGTGTGAAACATTTCTGCAAATCAAATTTATTATTCCAAATAGTTTTTTAAAATTTTAAGTACTTTTCTATTGGTGGAACTGAAAAAATAATGTTTTAATATTAAAAAATATAACTTAGTTTTCGCCTGCAATAAAGCAAATGTAATACACTTTCTAAAAATAAAAAATAAAAATAAGTTCGATAAATTGAACATTTATTTTGAAATGGTTTTATTTCTTAACTTGACATCATGCTTATTTTTAAAAAAAGGAAAATAAAATTCTTAGTAGCAATCAAAAGTCCTGATTAAGGAATTTTTTTATTATTTTGGGGGTTCCCAAAAATTCTTGATTGAAAATTTCTCAACAATTTTGAGTTTTTTTTTTTAATGGAAATCTTTAATGAAATTTTAGTGTGCAAAAACAGAATTAATATTTTGGTCCAGCAAATTAAAACACACAATAACATTACATAATTTCAGTACCATTTTATATTTGCATTTCTTCACAGCAATTTTATCCTTTAGTCATACATTTTACCCGTTGAAAGCATTCTAGATAAACTGTTCCAGATAAACTCTGGGCAGCAGCTGCAAATGCGACATTAAAAAGATTGCAGTTCGTATAAAACTCTAAAATAAGTAACACGGCTTTGATCAAAAGAAAAAAAAATAATATATGAAATAAAATAAAAATAAACCAACTGAAATAAAAGTAATCTTTCGGATCTCCGGGGGCTAACTTTTAAAAGAAAGGAAAAAAAGAAACCTTTTTCTGCAATATTCTTTGATGTGCACCGCCCCAAAATAAGCGTGAAACTTACCTGACCGCTTCCACTGGATACTTTCTATTGAAGGTCAGATCTGGGGTCATGCCGGCAACCCCCAGGGGGATGTGGGAAGAAGAAAATTCTATTTTCTTTGATGTATGCCGCCCAAGTTGCGCAACCCAGTTAACTTTTTCCCTTGGGTTTTTTCTTTCTTGTTTGGTGTGATATTAACTTATCGCTCTTTATAAAAAGTATGTGTTTCATAAGTTAAATTTATGCCCTAAAGAGTGAATTAGAAGTGTTAATTATCTTTTAAAAGCTTATTTATGCTGGATTATTTGCTTTATTTTATTTATTCTTTTCTTGGGAGGGAAAGTTCCGAAAAATTTGTATAGGTGTTATCTCATTGTGTGAGTTATAAATATGAAAATTAAGTGAAAACTGTAGAACATCATTTCTGTTTATCATTTGTGTGAAAGCGACTGTAACAGAATACACACAACTTTTAGATTCTTTAACATCTATTTCATTCATTATTTATAAACGTTATTACAATAACTGGAGAAGTAGATTTAACTTTGAACTTTATAAGCAACGCGATATTATTAAATACATAAAAATAAATAGAATGAATTGGATGGCCCACGTGATTCGAATGAGTGATGACAATACAATACAAAAGATATTGTTTTTTTGTCCCATTGGAACAAGAAAGCGGGATAGGCCCCAGTTGAGATAGGCTGGCTTGGTGGAGTCTGATTTTTTTGGAATTAATGAAAAGAATTGGAGATCAAAGACAAATCAGAAGTCATTATGGATAAATTTTCTGAGGAAGACATTGGCCCACATTGGGCTGGCTGGCCAACTATGAGTATAATGATGATGAGTTTAATCTAGAGAGCGTTTGGAAGTTCCGGTTCGGTAGCCCGTTGGGATGAGCACGAAGTTAAGTTGAGTATTTTAGGATAGAGCAGTTTTACGAGGACCAATACCCCTTAGTCACTACGCAAGCTGATCAATATGGTCATTGACCTTAGCCAGAGATATTTTAATCTGATGTGGGATTTTTACTGGGAACATGTCACTATACGTCTTACAATCATATCACTATAAGGTTAACTTCTTTGGAAGAGGGGACACGCTTAGCTCATTTTCTAAACCAGGGGGCAACGCTGATCGGTTAAAAAAATATTCTTTATACATGGCATTATATAAGCTTATCCATTGTTTAAGATTATGAATCTAGTGAGATAGTTATTATATTTTTAAATACTTAATAACCATTTCATTTGTAGTTTTAGGAGACCTCATCATCATAATCGCCAACGAGGCTCGAGCCATCAGCATTCTGCGTCGAACGCCAACCCTTGGGACGAGAGCTCACGTAGGCGGTATAAGAAGAGGGGTCACCATCACCATGGTGTACAGTTACTCAGATCCGTAACAACTACACCAACACCTAAAGTTAAATCGAATCAGCAAAGACAATTTAATGATTTGTGGGTGAAACTGGATCATCCAGATAGGTAATTTTCCACTTGTATTTTCTTTCAATCAAATTCTTTATTATTATTTTAGTTCCATTTAATATATGAGAGAAACTTTTTTATGGGGATGGGAAATAGATAATTTTCCAGTTACGTAAATTTCGACTCGCATTTTTTTTTCAATTTATTTATCACTATTATTTTATTTTAATTCCCTTTTCATGCGAGAAATTTTTTTCACATAAGTAATAGATAATGAGTAATAGATATGGTAATAGATAATTTTAACAGACAGACAATTTTTCGCTATTACTTTATTTAATTTTGATCGTGACAATTTTTTTTTATATGAAACTAAATAATAGCATTTAAAAAATAATGTATGCTCTTTGAATTTATTACTTCTAACAATAATAATAATTAAAAAAAATAGTAACTTGCAGTTTCAAGCTTTTGGAAGAAATTTAACTCTATTTTGATGAATTCTTTGAAAAAAAATTTTTTAATTATCCAAAATAATCTGCATTTGAAAATTAAATTAAATAAAAACTTTGAATACTTTATTTTCGGTCGAAGTTAATATTTTCAGGGTATCGAAACGAACGACTTAATATTCAAATTCATATTGAACTTTAAAATAGTTTAAGATTTTAATAACTGAGGTGCGAATTTTGAAAACATTGTCTCCCATTTCTTAATGCATCAACATTAATCCTATTATATGTAGATTTAGAAAAAAAAATCGTACTGAAATTCTTGTTTACTTCTTGTTAATTCTTTACTTAATTTAAGGACATTATTTTATGTTTTTAAGCGTATTTTTTGCGATTTTTAAGGGCATCTTCATAGATTTCTTTAATTAATCAAAATCCAGTTTCTTTAGAAAATTGTTAGTATATCACATTTCAAGTGATTTGGTTGGACATCGTTTCCCTATTACCAAAAGTTTTCTTAAGTCGTAATGTAATTTAAAATATTAGTTATTCGACGAGCCAAAAAAAAAATTAAAAATTCTCTTCTTATTGAAACATCATCTTAAATTGTAAATGGTCATGGGGTCATGGTAATATATACTTTTTTTAAAAAAATTTTGATAGTTTTTAACTGTAAAACATATTAAATTTAGTTACAACTTTATTATAATAGGACATTGATATTTTAAATATTTCTATAAGGGCTTGATTACTTTATAAACATATAAAGCAGCACTATACTTCGCGAACAATGCGTATTCATTGATCTCAGTGAACTTGCACAATGCTCTTAATAAATTAATTCTTATTCTTCGCAAGTAATAAATTAAATTTTGCTTTTAAATATTCTTACTCTTTCAGAAACAGATAAGTAAAAGTTTCTTTAAAAATAAATATATAAATCCTAAATCCTTTTAACAAATTGAAACTAACCTTTAAATTTCCAATGATCATGGAAATATACTTTTTTTAAAAAAGAATTTCGTTATTTTTTAATTTTAAAAATTATTAAATTTAATTACAACTTCTATTTATTATTATAGGACAAAGAATATATTTTAAATATTTTGATAATAGCTTGATTAATTTATAGATATATAAAGCAGCACTATACTTCGCTAACAATGCTTATTCATCGATCTCAGTATCTATATATATATTTCTCTTACACGGCACCAAAAAAAAAAGCCTCATTGCAACTCCCCGAATGGCAACGTTAGAAAATCGACCAATGATTGCTGCTAAAAATGTCACATGGCAAATGTCACATGAGGTGGCTCAACATATAGCGCTTTTAAAAACGGAAACAATAACCAGAGTGAGCATTATCAGGTTGTTCAATTCAGATTCATGCCCTAAAAACATGATAATATTTAATTTAAACTCAATTAGGAATTAATTAGGCTGGCCTTCTCCATGACTATAAATAAGTCACAAGGTCAGACTTTTGAGAAAATCAGTTTAGTATTGACTAAACAAGTTTTTAGTCATGGACAACTTTATGTTGGCCTGTCAAGAGTTAAGTCATTTGACAGCCTTTCAGTAATTGCTCCAAGATGCCAAATCTATAATTGTGTTTTCAAAGAAATTCTAAATGCTTAGTGTTAATTTCTTAGAGCTTTGCAGAAAAAAATGTTTTTTGGAAAAAATTTAATTGAAACTTCTATTGGCAGTAGGCAAGGGGAACTGCCAAAATCAAAACTCCCCGATTAGAAATGCAGCATGGCGACCTCCACGTGGTATTTCTCGGGTAATGCTAACAGCCATGCATTTTAATTTATTGTATGTAAAACATCCTTATTTTGTTCTAAAATGTTATGTACTTTATCACAAATGTTAATTAATATAGAAATTGATTTCAATAATGCTGATCACCAAAAAATATTTCATTTGGCGATAAAACAAATTTTTGTGTTCTTGAAAATGAAAGACTTTTTGAGGGTTATTATCTCACAAGGAAAAGTTAGGGTTTAAAGTTTATATTTTTAAATAATAAAATTTTTTTCTAAAACTTTCAGAATTTCTAGCATTAACTAATTTATTATACACATTTAGTTGAATTTAGGTGAGTAACTGCAATATTTGATAATTTATTTTGCTAATATGTTTCTCATTTAGCTAATGTTTTGATTTTTTCACCATGTACAATCTAAATAGCTAATATACTTTTTTAAAAGCCAATAAGAACATTGATAGAATTCTTCTACATAAGTACAATACTATGTCTTTGATGATAAAATACTATGTCTTTGATGATAATATATTATGTCTTTGTGCTAGAACATTGTGTTCATTGGCGAGCGAGCGCAGCGAGCCATGGTTCACGGCGTGAACCACATAGGATTGCGTAGCAATTCTCGGGGGTTGGCGAGCGTTAGCGAGCAGGGGGCGGAGCCTCCTAGTACATGTATAATGCTCCTAATAAATTAATTCTTATTCTTCGTAAGTAATGAATTAAATTTTGCTTTTAAATATTCTTACTTTTTCAGAAACAGATAAGTAAAAGTTTCCCAAAATGAAAGTTTTATTACAATAGCTTTGTGTGCTTATGTCATTGTAAGCATATTATATCTATAATTCTCATTTTCAGGTCCAGTGATCAGAGTGATCAGGAAGCATCTGAAAGCATTCGAAAATACAAGAAAAAAACACAAATTTGGCATCCAACCACTAACAGCATAAGTTCAGCCCAGAGCCTAATTTTAGAAAGAATTACATGGATTGCATGCCTGACATTTATGCAATATTATAGGCAGTTACTAACTATTTGAAACGCAATCAAGCGAAAAGTATTTAAAGCCCAATTGTATTATCAAGCCTGATTGCTGTTGTTTTAGTCCCTTTAAGATCGTTTGCTTTTTTTTCAAAAAGGATTAAAATATCGTCTGAAGAATCAGTGAAGTTGAAAATAAGTTTCTTGACAAGATTTTCTTTTCAGAAAATGGCAATTACGTGACATAGCGTGTTGCTTCGAATGTTTGACGCGGAAGTTATTGAATGAAAGCACTTGGGAGATGACTAAGAATTTGAACTTTTTAAAAGTGAAGTTAATCTAATAAAACTTCAATTATTATAAATAATAAGTTATTTCTAGATAAATCAGTGTTCATGCTGATTGTCAAATGAAACTTTTGCATGACAAATAGTTGTTTTTTATACTTTTAAATCAATCCATCTGTATATATGCGACAACTCTATTAGAACAATTGTACCACATTACTGAGTTTTTCTTTCACAGGATAGGAATTGTAATGTATGTAAGTGTTTCGTATTATCAGCAGTATTATATTGATTAAATCTTAAAACGTATTTAAAATTAATTTTCTCTTGAAATCAGAGTTTATCAAGTTCTATTGAATCCTGCAATTTTTTTTTTTTTTAGTGGAGGAAAGCGTTTGTAGTTATATTCCGACTGGATGTCAAAACACAATATTTATCGTTGTTTCAATACATTAAAAAATGCTTACGTCACTAGTCTGTAAAAAATTTTTTTTTAATATTTAATCCTTTATAATCAGAATTTTTTTAGATAGTTTTTTGAGGACAGGAAAGTCAAAAATAGCAAGAATGATTTTTTAAGGAGGATGGAGGGGTTGAAAGAAGGAATTTTTTTAAAAAAAAGTGTCTTGTAAATAAAAAATATGTTTTCGAAAAACTTTTTTATCTTTACAATTTAAATGTAAAAACATTTTATTAAGTCTTTCATAAGTGAGAAACAAATTGTCAAAACACAGATATAAAACTCTTGAATTTTTGTTTATCAGCAACTGTGTTTAGACGCCAAGATAAAAATAACAAAAAAATTACGAAAAAATATAATACTACTATAATTTTTGTAACATATTTAACAAAATTCATCAAAGTAATGTAGCATTAAAAGTGGGCCTAAAATTGATTCAATTAAAACGCAAATAGCTTTAAGAGCTATATTTTTTTTTCTCCAATTCCCACCTTTTTAGAATAACCCACCTGGGCATCTAAGGGCAGATTTGTTGGTCACTCTTTCAGGGGCACCATATTAGGTGGGCCAACGTTGCTCCCACAGTAAGGACAGATAGTACAGAGAAGGAAAGAACATCCATGCCTTGCCCGGGATTCGAACCCAGAACCTTTCTGATGCAATGGCAGTTCCCTAACCCCTACACAGACCCGTCGGCTTTAAGAGGTATATGAAAATCCATTTTTACACGCACACAAAAAAAAAATTTTATTAAAATTACCATACTGTACAGAATTGACCATTCTAGTAATAAAAAGAAAAAGCCTAGCAACTCCAACAATTTCGCGTGCAGGTCGTCGGGCTACCGAAGCGGGGGTGCTACCCCCTTTGCAGAGGATCAAAATTGTGATGGCATGTCTTCGGATCATCCTCAGGGATGTTTCCCAGACCGTCGCCAATAGCCCATTGTGCAGCTCTAGTGTGACGTAAATAAACTACAACAACAACTCCAGTAATAACAACCAAAATCTACGGTAATTTTTTCATTCATATGATTTTCAAATATATAGTTCCTATGTCTAGACATTTAATACAAAAAATACTAAACTGAAAAGTAGATTTTAACGAATAAATGATTTTTATGCCATGCTTTAAGGTAGCGGTTCCCAAATTGGTGCTCTGCGGAAGCCTTGGGCTCCGTGGAAATGTGAACGTGGCTCTTCAAGTTAATACTTTTTATATACAGAAATGTTTTTTAAATCTCCGATTATATTCAGAATCAACCTTTCGGTTGTTTTTATAAAATTATTTCAAGTAAAATTCCAACGAAATGGAAATTACATTTTTTAAAAGGAAATATAATAATTATAATAACAATATATTGAATAAATTAGGGAAAAAAAAACAAGCTTTTATAAAGTATTGCGTAAGCATTTCCGATCGCGCTTTTCGATACAAAATAATTCCTTAATAAAGAAATATATTTCCCTAATACCCATTTTCAATAGTAGTTTTCATCTCGGAGTATTATTCTACTTATTTTCTTTCATGTATATGCACCAAAAACAAATTCATAAGTAGACATAGAACAAAAACTGTAGATATAGAACAAAAACTGTACATTTAACTGTTGGAGATGAAACCTAATTTAAGAATATTAATGTAAAACGATGAAAAATCTTCATTTCTCTAATTAAATATTGTAAAAATGGCTTTTTATAGGTTATAAGGTTTACAATTATCTTAATAAACTTTATTTATAAAGTCGGGATTGCGCCTAAGGAAGCTTGATAATTTAGGGTTCAATAGCCGAAAAAAATTGGGAACCGTTGGTTAAGAACATATATAGTTTGTCTAAAATAAGAACTCCTCCTGACTTTCGTCTGGAACTGTGGCGGTGACTATGGTAACAAGGTATGGTAACAAGTAGGGGTGCGGGGTCCCTGTTTCGGAGTGGTTTTGGGGCGGCGAGAGAAAGGGAATCTCTTCGGTCTATTGTGTTAGTCCTAGAGTGAAGCTACCCTCCTTAAAATGCGCCATTCTTGTTTCCACAGCACTAGACGGCCTCAGACTTTGTGGCGGGAGGAGTTCTCAGCTTAGACAAACTATACTTTTTTTCTTAGTGTGGGATAAAATGTCCGACTCTTTCAGTAGATTGCTGAGGGTGTCAATTCATGGAATTATGCTACATATTATGAAGTAATTGTATTTGATGTGAACATATTTTTTTTTACAACCATGATCTTATGTGTTCGAAAAGTTTATAAGACACTAAAATTTTTGTGTAAAAAACAACCAGAATAAGTTTATCTGAAAAGCATAAAACATCCTTAAATGTATTTGTTGTAGTTAGCATTATTTTACTATCTAATTATAATAAGAAATAATAATTATCTCAGAAACTTTTCTCATATAGAAATGCACAGGGTATTTACCATTACATTCTGCGCATAAAAAGTTAAGTTTAGCGAAAATGTAATAACCCTCAAATAACAAAAAATTTGGAAATATTATGCTTTATTTGTTCTTTTTTTTCTTTCTTAAATTTCTTTTCTCGCTAGTTGTCAGTTCAGTTGCAATTTATTTTGTACTAACTTCATGAAGATTAAGATCTTTAAGAAGAAAGTGATGGTATCAAAATTAACTAACCTTCATTTAAAAAAAAAAAAAAAAAAGGGAAGAGGGAGAAATAACTATTGTGACACGTTTTAAATAGCGGGAAGTTAGGTAAATTGAGAAATAAAAACTAACCTGCTTCGTTGGTTTAAATTAATAATTCTTTTTAATCGAACTGTATACAAGTTTTTCTGAAATATGACAGCATAATAAATGGAAATTTTTAAAACATTTAAATTCCCAAATTTAAAAACATCTTCATAGTCAGGTGTACCATAGAAATCTAATTCACTTTTATGATTCTAGAAATAAGGTGATTCGTAACGGAAAATATGCTTTATTTCATATTCTAAGGCTGATTTTCGTAAATCCATGATTAAAGGGCTTTAAAAGAAATGAAGAAAAAATTGTTGATAAACTTTGTTTTATGAAGAGTAAAGTATCCGTGACTACAAGGCTTATTATGAGTTATAACATACACACTTGAAAATTTTAAATAGTGATAGAAATAGAACATTTCATGATTTGATAATACCTGAAACTGAATAATTTCCGACTGATGTAGACAGCGATATTTAGTGATTTACCTCTTTAAATTCACAAACAAAAATGTTCGCAGACACAATAGAGAATATGCAGAGTGTTCTGTAATCACATCCCTTCATATTTATTTTTGGAATTGTTGACATAAATGAAGTGAAAAAAAATATTAATATTAACGGTCACAAATTATTTTCAATATAATTTTCTTCTTCGTAAGCAAAGAAAAAATGCAGGGCTGATTGTGAGCCCAAGTCAAAATTCCGGAAAATTTCTTGAGTTAAAAAAAAAAAAAATAATCAGTTTAAATTGAAAAAAATTTAAACAAGTTTTTTTTCTCAATATTTCTTAGTTTACTTAAAATATATTTAAAATTATACACATACCTATGATGACCTGGAGAAGTAATTAAAATTTACAAATATGTCTTTCTTTCTTGAGTTTATGATTATAAAAACTATTTACTGATAAAAAATGAATATTAATCATGAATATAAGCTTATAAAGTATCTCTCTGGCTCTCCCTTACAAACAAATAAAATAAACTGTGTTTTTGATCTCCGGAAGCTTCTGTGATCAATGATTTTTTGAAACATCTGGACCTTCGATCTCCGGAAACTTCCTGATCACTGTTAGCGAAAATTCTGGATTTTTTCAGGAGCACAATCAGCCCTGAAAAATGTAAACTATCGAAACCTGACAAATCATCAGTGAGAATAACCGTGCTATTAAAATTCTATTTAATTTCGGTAAGAAACAGTAGAGTTGAATGGCGATTGCTGCAAAAATAGTCGTTTCCTTGTTATCAAACAAGATTTGATGTTTTGTCTTCACTTAAATACTAATTTAGAACCCTAATGTGTATATATGTATTTTTTTTTCTTGATAAAAACTATGAAAATAAATATTACGGGTGACCCAGACACCCTTCAACAGTGTTTTTTTCTTTTTTTTGCTTTCCCTTTTACATTATGTTATTTCTATTGTTATATTTCTTAAAATAAGTTTATTAAAAATTTTATAAATATTTATATTTAGTTCTGACTGTGTACATAAATTTTAAGGTTTTATTGCTATTGAACTTCTTCTATTATTTATTCAATGCCATGTAAAGAAAGAAAAAAAAAGGAAAGATTTGTAAAATTTTATAACCTACTTCTTTTTCTCTCTACTCNAAGGTATGACTATTTCAAGTAGGGGTGCGGGGTCCCTGTTTTGGAGTGGTTTGGGGGCGGCGAGAAAGAGGGAATCTCTTCGGTCTATTGTGTTAGTCCTAGAGTGAAGCTACCCTCCTTAAAATGCGCCATTCTTGCTTCCACAGAACTAGACGGCCTCAGACTTTGTGGCGGGAGGAGTTCTCAGCTTAGACAAACTATACTTTTTTTCTTAGAGTGGGATAAAATGTCCGACTCTTTCAGTAGATTGCTGAGGGTGTCGATTCATGGAATTATGTTACATATTATGAAGTGATTGTATTTGATGTGAACATATTTTTTTTTACAACCATGACCTTATGTGTTCGAAAAGTTCATAAGACACCAAAATTTTTGTGTAAAAAACAACCAGAATAAGTTTATCTGAAAAGCATAAAACATCCTTAAATGTATTTGTTGTAGTTAGCATTATTTTACTATCTAATTATAATAAGAAATAATAATTATCTCAGAAACTTTTCTCATATAGAAATGCACAGGGTATTTACCATTACATTCTGCGCATAAAAAGTTAAGTTTAGCGAAAATGTAATAACCCTCAAATAACAAAAAATTTAGAAATATTATGCTTTATTTGTTCTTTTTTTTCTTTCTTAAATTTCTTTTCTTGTTAGTAGTTAGTTCAGTTGCAATTTACTTTGTACAAACTTCATGAAGATTAAGATCTTTAAGAAGAAAGTGGTATCAAAATATAACTAACCTTCATTAAAAAAAAAAAGGGGGGGGGGAAATAACTTTCGTGACACCTTTTAAATAGCTGGAAGTGAGGTAAATTGAGAAATAAAAACTAACCTGCTTCGTTGGTTTAAATTAATAATTCTTTTAAATCGAACTGTATGCAAGTTTTGCTGGAAAAAAGACAACATAATAAATGGAAATTTTAAAATACTTAAATTTCCGAATTTAAAAAGATCGTCATAGTCAGGTGTAACCACAGAAATCTAATTAATTTTTATACTTCTTGAAATAAGGTGGTTCTAAACGGAAAATATTTTTTATTTCATATTCAAAAGCTGATTTTCGTAAATCTATTAATAAAGGGCTTTAAAAGAAATGAAGAAAAAATTGTAGATAAACTTTGTTTTATGAAGAGTTAAAATATTCGTGACTACAAGGCTTATTATCAGTTATAACATATATACTGGAAAATTTTAAATAGTGATCGAAATAAAAAATCTAACGATTTGACAACACCTCAAACTGAATAATTTCCGACACAATAGAGCGTATACATTCTGTAATCACATCCCTTCATATTTATTTTTAGAATTGTTGTCATAAATGAATTGAAAAAAAATATTAACGGTCACAAATTATTTCCAATATAATTTTGTTCTTCGTAAGCAAAGGAAAAATGCAGGGGTGATTGTGAGCCCAAGTCAAAATTCCGGAAAATTTCTTGAGTTAAAAAAAAAAAAAAAAATAGTTTAAATTGAAAAAAATTTAAACAAGTTTTTTTTCTTCCTTTTTCTCAATATTTCTTAGTTTACTTAAAATATATTTAAAATTTTACACATACCTATGATGACCTGGAGAAGTAATTAAAATTTACAAATATGTCTTTCTTTCTTGAGTTTATGATTATCACAACTATTTACTGATAAAAAATGAATATTAATCATTAATATAAGCTTATAAAGTATCTCTCTGGCTCTCCCTTACAAACAAACAAAATAAACTGTGTTTTTAAGTTCCACCTTTGAAAATTTGATTTCCGGAAACTTCTGTGATCAATGATTTTTTGAAACATCTGGACCTTCGATATCCGGAAAATTCCGGAAACCGTATTTTTTCCGGAGCACAATCAGCCCTGAAAAATGTAAACTATCGAAACCTGACACATCATCAGTGAGAATAACCATGCGATTAAAATTCCATTTAATTTCCGTAAGAAACAGTAGAGTTGAATGGCGCTTTCTGCAAAAATAGTCGTTTTCTTGTTATCAAATAGGATTTGATGTTTTTTATGCCATTAATTAGTCTTCACTTAAATACTAATTTAGAACCCTAATGTGTATATATGTATTTTTTTTTCCTTGACAAAAACTATGAAAATAAATATTACGGGTGACCCAGACACCTTTTAACAGTGTTTTTTTTTTTTTTTTTGCTTCCCTTTTATACATTATGTTATTTATATTGTTATAATTCTTAAAATAAGTTTATTAAAAATTGTATAAATATTTATATTTAGTTCTGACAGTGTACATAAATTTTAAGGTTTTATTGCTATTGAACTTCTTCAATTATTTATTCAATGCCATGTAAAGAAAGAAAAAAAGGAAAGATTTGGAGAATTTTTTAACTGACTTTTTTTCTCTCTACTCGCAAGTATCAAATTGCAATAAAAAAAATTTAGAACTCTTTGTCAGTTTATAGACTTTTTATGTTGTAAATAAGGATACATATCGTGTTTGCAGATAATAAAAGTATTTATTACGAAAAGATTTGTTATTATTTTTAGATAAAATGTTTACCTTTGCTATGTAAATATATATATACAGTCAAACCCCGCTATAGTGAACCTTCAAGGGACCGACATTTCGGTTAACTGTAACCGGGAGTTCACTATATCTGTTACACAGGCAATTTAACTAATGATTCCTTAAATCCTCCCCTTTATTACACATTATTCAAATAAATGACTGAAAAATATTATGTAGTAGCAAAAAATGTGTTATTTTTTTTATTACTCTTCGTGTTGCGTACAAAAAAAATTAGTAATCTCTAGCAGATGACCAATCCTCAACATCAGATATGGAAACACTTCCCGACTCTCAGATGATTTTTCCTGGATTTCTGTTTTTCCGCTTTTCAAACCTGTCTAACCTGCCATTTTAGCACATTGCAGCTTCTTCTAATGCTGAACCACTTCAGTAATGCTTCATCAACATCCTTGTGATCTGCTTTTCTCAACTTTTTTCTAATATTTTATCTAAATTCTTTTTTAATAAATTAAATTCTTTTATCTAAATTTTTTTTAATGAGTTATTAACTGCCTATTTTTTCATATGTTACAAACTGCAGATTCAGATAGTTTAGATTCTCTGCAAATATCAGCTTGATTGCATCCATTTTCAATATTTCTGATTAAGCACATTTTATCATCAATGAAGAATGTTTTACGTTTACTGCTCGCCATAGTTAAATTTGAGAGACTTGTTTGCAGACTTTTTTAAACTGAACTGAGAGCAAAAAGGAGTTGAAATGTAGGCCTTATCAACACATATTAGTGTCCAATCCTTTGACCAATAATGACTCATTCCCTCTGACAGAAAATGCATATTGATCCCCCTGACACCTTAGAGGTGCACCATCATCTTCCTGGGTTGGTTTGTTTAGGGATGGGAAAGTGAGATAAAAGAAGCAAACAAGAAAAATTGCGTATCGCTACATTTCCCTCTATAGATGGTTTTAAAAATCGGTATATATATTTATTTCGAAGTAGAAATTTCAAAATTATTACAAAAAATGAAGAAAAAAAATCAGTCGAAGACAGAAAAAAGTTCATTATATCCAATTTCCTCAATTTTTGGTTCACTATATCCAGAAAAAAAAAAAATTATACATGTATCAGGACTGAACATTTCGTTCACCATATCCGGGAGTTCACTATAAACCGTGCTCACTATAGCGGGGTTTGACTGTATATATAAAGTTATATCCTTATGCTGTTTGTTAATATGCAACCACCTGGATGTGTAGGTATTTTTTTTTTTTTTTTAATAATTTTAAGATATATTTTGGACAACGAATCTAAACATTAAGGGTAGTGATTATGTAAAGATAATTATGAAAATGTGCATAAGGTATAAATATCAATCTTCTTTAATTTAAAAATTGTTAGCTGTCTAATTGGTCCAAACGTAAAAAGTATATAAAAATAAGACAAACAAATTACATATACACATTTATTTAAAATACACAAAAGGAATACAGTCTTTTTTTTTTCCATAACAAGGCATTTTTTAGATTAAAATACCACAATTGCTTACTCTTTTTTTTCCTTCTTTTTTTTTTAAATCAATACAATTTAAATAAATTTTCAATGAATTAGAAAATAATTCAATGAAATTATATTTTCATCACTATGAAACTAAATTAATATCAGTCTTAATAAGATATAAAATAGCAGTTACTTTAAAAACCGATTCAGTCTTCAGCTGCATAGCACGAAAAATGAAATCAAATGTAAATAAAAAAAATACTTTCACAAATAGAATTAAGATGAAATTGATTACATTGATAAGAGAAGTTACATTTGGCACACCAAATAATTCTACAATGGAAGAACATGAAACTGCCATACATTTGGCACATTTGTTCAACCAAATGCATAATGAATATCACTGATTTTTCAACAATGATTGGCTTAAAACACTCACATTATAAATTATTGACATATATTTTACATGGATGGTTTATCTAATCGTTAAAAGTATTAAATTATATAAGTTTAGAAATTTGAATAATATTTTAATGAAATATAAAATTACACTTTGTCCATCAAAATGTCAGAAGTAAAGTTCTTTTAGCTTTCTTAGATTACTATCCCTTAAATTGGCGACATAAATATATTAAATAGATATATTAGACATTTATCAGGGCCATAGGCAGTATTAATGCAAAATATATATATATTTCTTTCATGAATAAAACAGTCAATATTTTATGAAACACATTGATTTTAAATAATTTGTTTCTTATTTAAACTTAGGTCTTTGGAAAACAATTACTTAATAATCTACTTTCAAGTTCTTAAGCGTAAATAAAATTTTAGAGTACAATATGAATGGAAAGCATAAGGCATAATTCATATTAAATTAAAATATTTTGTAAAAAAAGGTACAGTATAGCACAAGAGAACTGATAAGCGTAAATAATAAAAAAATCTTACAATATTCCTGAAGTTAGTTATCAATATGGAAATTACAAAGGTCTTCTAAAATGAAATCTGACTATGGCCCAGTACTTTTTGTAAACAAAATAATCACTCTGATTTTTTAAAAACACATTTTTATGCAGCAATTTCACTGCTTTTTGTTTACTTAAATTTACATTTCTCTAAATGTATTTCATACTAAAAAAAAATATTATCTTTTCTATTTTGTTCTGAGCATGGAAGATAAGATTATTATGATGAGCAATGAAGTGGAGTTTTTCTACACATATTTTTACACATTGCTTCCTACATATAAATGGAAGACTTCATTCAATAAAATTTTTACAATGAAAATCATGATTGTGACAGGCTTTGTGTGGAAATACACAAGCTAACAAAAAAAGAAGAAGCAAATCAGATTTACATGAATTGTAGATATCATTAGCATATAAATGGAAACATTTTAGGAAGGATAAAATTTCCATAGAAAATAATTTATAAAAATTCCATAAAGAAGTCAAAAGATAAGTTGTTGAGACATTTAGTGTGAAACATTACCCTTAGACAAGACTAAATGACGAAAAAATGCAAAAACAATTAAGTAGAAAAGATACAAATAAGTTAAATAACACTTAGTGGATGAAAGCAGATCATTCCAAGAACTGATAAATCAAAGTAACATTAGACCATAAAAATATGACATTCAATCATTTATTCATTACCAAATGGTTTGTCCTCGTATGAGTTAAATACTGATTAAAATCTCAATTCATATTTTAAATCAAATGTTTTTTTTTAAAGATAAAAAAATAAAACTTTTTTTTCTACAAAATTACATACATTAATGTCAACAAAATTATATGTTAATGAAAAAAATTAAAAGAATTATTTACAGTTAATTTTAATAATTCTGTGTATTAAATATAATTTTCTTTAATTCTGATGACTGTTAATACTGAAAATATATAATATTAATCAAAACAATTAATGTAATATAAAAGAAAATAACAAAAAAGTAATCAAATAATTAAGTCAAGTACTAAATTTTGCAAGTTAATAAATATCCTAAGAATTTTTAATGATCTTTTACAAAAAAAATCACAGTTATTAAAAAATTATACTAAGTATCAAATTTTAAAAGCAAGTAGATATCAAAATTAAAAATGAATATTAGTCAACTATGAGTTTTAATACTGAACACTGAAGTAATTAACACTAGTTTAAAATAATCTAATTTAAAGCAAACAGTTATATTATCTTTTTCGTACTGATACTCATACATGGATGATGTATAGAATGATTGAATGATTTACACATTAAGATGTAAAAAAAAAATAATAAAAGGAAGAGAAGAAGCTGCCATTCCATTTAGAGGAAATCGCCTTCCAGTTGAGCAAAATCATGCAGCACAGAAGCTGCATACTGGAGACGAGATAGGAAGATCGGTTTGCACCCATGCTGCCCAATAGCATTTAAGGAATAAGTAGTAGAATGCCTCTCTTCATCAATATACATTACTGTTCCATCTCCACATATCACTATCTTCGTATGATCCTTGAAGAAATTAATCTGGAAAAAAAAATTATATCTTATACTTAATTGTATCAAAACACTTTTCCATTGATTAGGAATATTAAACAGGGTGCATAGCCAAATTTTTCAACAAAAAATAAGCACCATTTAAGCACTCAAAAAATATTTTCAAGCACTTTGAAAAAATATCATAATTAGACAGGGTTGGCAAGTTTTTGACAATTGATGGTTTTATCTGCTTGCCATGACGAAGACAATGGCATGTCACAAACAATGAAATTAACAAGAGAAATGAAATTTTTTTATCGCTATTAGAGAGGGGAAAAATTTACAATGTTTAGTTGGTCCCCATAATCAGCAAAAAGTCGAGAGATTTTTCGATTCTATTACAGGGTGCGTAGCCAGATTTTTCAACAAAAAATAAGCTCCTTTTAAGCACTTTTCAAGCACTCAAAAAATATTTTTAAGCACTTAAAAAAAATATCATAGTTCGGCAGGGTTAGAAAGTTTTTGACAATTGACGGCCTTATCTGGTTTTAGTCGTCTTGTCAAAAAAAAAACCTTTTGGCACTGTTTTTGACAACTGTCAAAATTTTTGAATCACGTAAATCGAATGCCATTTTCATATGCTACGGACTGATGATACGCCGAAATAGATTGGGGTTGAATTAATTTTGAAAACGCTGAATAGTGTATGAACTGTGTCTTTCTGCATAATTCGTAGCGAAAATTTACATGGAAAAGGAAAAATCTCATTTTGGAAAAAGGAAAATGAAGCACTTTTTAAAAACACTCAACAAAAAAGCACCTTTAAGGGCTTTTAAAAAACGAAAATCGGAAATAAGCACCTTTAAGCACTTTTTAAAAAAGCTACGCACCCTGTAGTACAGAGGACGGAAAACTACAGATTGAAGGTACGCCGAAATAGATTGGGGTTGAATTAACTGCAAAAAAATTGAATAGGACGTCTTTTTGCATAATTTGTGGAGAAAATCAACAAAAGAAAAAGGAAAATTAAGCACCTTTTAAAAACACCCATGGAAAAAGCACCTTGAAGGGCTTTTAAATAACGAAAACCTAAAATAAGTACCTTTAAGCACTTTTTAAAAAGGCATTTAAAATTAATTACATTTAAATTACCCTGTTAAAATGCGCAAAATATGAGCACCATTCTTTGGAGTGAATTCTAAACAGACATACTATTTAAGATTCCTTGGATTACTATGATAGAAAGCTCCTTAAATAAGCTAGGTTTTTATTTGTTTGTCTATTAAGCACGAAATAAGGAGTCTATATTAACTTTCCACAGATTCCCCATTTTTTCCCCCTATTTTTTAGCCTTCTTTTCATTAGTCACTGGAATAAATTGTAATGGTGCACTTAAATTTCCCAGCACACATGCGCTTTTCTTCTAAAATACTTTTAATTCTTAAAAAAAGTTTTACTAAGCACCAACATCAACTTTCCCTTTGCACACGCCAACTAATAAGAGACTAGCTTATTTTTTTTATTAAAATGCTTTTTTTTGCAAATAAAGTTTTACTAAGCACCAACATCAGTACAATAAAGTTACACCCTTATGCATCTAAAACAAAATTCGATCGAACAACTAGTTTGAGCTCGATTTATTCAAAAAATGTCTGTTTCCAGATTCAACTGTAATGTTACAAAAGTTTCTAAACCAGCAGGATAGTTTGATTTTGAAGGCTAAGTTCTATAGAACTATTCTAAGTTCTATAGAAGGCTAAGTTCTATAGAAAGTTTTACTAAGCACCAACATCAGTACAATAAAGTTAGACCATTATGCATCTAAAACAAAATTCGATCGAACAACTGGTTTGAGCTCGATTTATTCAAAAAAAAATTTCTGTTTCCAGATTTAACTGTAATGTTACAAAAGTTTCTAAACCAGCAGGATAGTTCGATTTTGAAGACTAAGTACTATAGAACTATTTCTGAAAAATTATAGAGAAGACATTCTTTATTTTAATGGCTTTAGTGGAGAGAAATCAAAGGCATAGGAAGATAAAAACTTGGTTATATGTTACACATACTCCATGACAATGGAGTAATGGAAAGATGTATGTGTCTTTTAATGCATAAGTATTTTGTAATTATAAAAAGATTAAAAATTACAAATTACTATTTAAGAAAATGTTAAAAAGTACTTTTATCATATTCAGGGGCAATAGTGAATCAAACTAAAAAATCCTGAAAATTTCTTGAGTAAAATCGTTAATGACGTACTTCAAAAAATAAATGTCTTTTTACATTTAAATCATTGATATTTTCAAAACATAAAATTCTATATAAATTATATACAGCAGAATTTAAATGAACAATTATTTATAAGTTTACTTTCATCTCTAATCACATTTATTATTCAACCAGAAACAATATTTACAAATGAAAGAGATGTCAAGTATAAATTCTAGTTCTAATATTTTTAAACAAAATATACAAGCATTTTCATACATAAATGTAATTGATAATTTCTTGAAACTTCAGGATTGCAGTAAGCGAATAATCTGGAGATTCTGATTTTTTTTTGGAGCACTATCACCTCTGCATATTTTAAATATTCAAAATATGTAATCATAAGAACTTAAAATATTTAATAGCGACAATTCTAAAAACTAAAACTCATCATCATTGTATCCAAAAAATTTTTAAATAATCATTCTAAATCAAATTAACTGCCTAATTCTTCTTAAAAAAGAATGTTGTTCATACTTTCAAATATTTAAAGAGTTAAAGTAATATTTTAGATGATTACAGACACAAATTTGAAAGCCACAGTTACAAACTATTCTCCAAAGCCATAGTTGAGAAAATGTGTGTGTATTTTTACAGCGGCTGAAAAAGAATATTGTGCATGTGACCTGCCAAAAGAGATAAGTTTCTTTGACATACAACTCTTTTACTTCAACAGTAACTTAACATTACAGTTGAATTAAGACAATGGCCTCTATCAAAAAGAAATCAAACAAGTTTGAATCGAAGAAGCGAGTTTCAGTTGCATAAGGGTGCAAATCGGAAAGTTTATGCTATGAAAAATCATTCAGAAATAAAAACAGAGCAATGCTCGTCATTTTATAGGAAAAGTTAGTTAAAAATAAATTCCCATCGTCTCAAATTTGTGCAGTTTTAACAAAAAATTTTGCAACAAATGTAATACTATAATTACACTTTCTATTAATGATAAATTTCCTCAATTTGAAAATATTACTTGCTCAAATTATAGAAGAAACTTAGAGAGAGATTAGAAATATATACTTATATTGAAGCATTTAAAAACATTTACGATTTGAATAATGATATAAAAGCTGAAAAAAGAATTATTATTTCCATTTAAGGCAAATCCCACCCTTCACATTTATCCTTATGTCTGAAAAAAAATTCTACAATGCATGTAAACATAACAAAGGAAAGTGTTTCAACATTAAAACCATAACATAGTTGCTTTTAATTCTGAGTATTTAGAACACTATAATTTTTAAGTTTCAAGATGGAAAAAAAAATTTTTTGGTTCTAGGAATTGTTTAAATTGTATAAAATTGTTTGTGAAAACAAAACTTGGAACTCATATGATCAAACTAAATGCTTCAAATAGCTAGAAAATCATAGTTGTAGCAATTTTCTAACAATTGCGAAATTTTTTAATTTAGCATTTGGATGACAAGGTAGAAACTTGAAAGGATATTTAAGTACATAATTAATTAAAAGATATCATTAATTAATATGGATACCATTAATTAAAAAACATGTTTACTTCTAATATGAAATGAAGCTCAGTTTAGTTTTTAAAATCATAAAATAATATTTATAACAGTTAGAATAAATTAGCTTAAAAATAAAATGATGATAAATTTAAATTAAGATTAGGAATTTGTATGCAAAACATAAAATCAAACTTAATAAATCATTGTCATTATGTCATTCTGAAAAAATCATGACAATAATAATGACATAATGCTTGTAACCAAATTATTTGCCTGTACAATATTTCTTGCCGCTGCTTTTTGTTCAGTGACCATAACCAGGTGGAGTCCTTCAGTGACTCCAAATCAAAATCAATTTTGTTATAAATTTAATTTCTTTACGAGGAACCCCACTGGATAATCTAAGTGTTAATAAAAAGGTTTAAAATTTCTAGGGATAGTATAAACAATAGGTTAAATTTGCAATAAAATGTTTTAAAAAGTTAGCATAGCATTTAAAAAAACATAATTATGATAGAAATTCAATTTTTAAATCAAAATCAACTATTTTAATTAAATACAGAGTAAGCTTAAGTATTATATTGAAAGATATATTTGTAATCAAGAATGGATTTCTTAACAAATAATCACTGTCGAATAATATGGGCAAATAATTTACATAAAAAAATTAATTCAATTACCTGAAGAGTACCAGAACTTAACTGCATGACTACAGCATTAGCTGTTCGTAACCATCGTTTCATGTAAGGTATTTTCTTGCGGACTAGATCTTGAGACTGTAGTTCTCCCCCCTAAAAAAATGATCAAACAATGTAATAATCATATTGAAAATGATACTCATAACCAAACAATATTTTTATAACAATTGTGAAATAAGAATAAAATAAAGGATACTTTAACATACAAAATCAACATACGTTTAAAAAAACTTTTTTAAATGTTAATGCAACCATTAAAAAACTAATACAGATCATAGCAAATAAATTAATAATATATTTTAATCAACAGAATAAATTACATAAGAAATATTAAAATAAGGTATTTGATAGAATATTTTTCTTTTATAGTATGAGCATGTAAAGTAAAAAGTATTTTGTTTTAATCTGGTGGCTCCATCTGGAGCACCATTTTAATAAAATACACAGTGTTCTTTTAGCGTATACAGAAAATTTTTCATCTATAGATTGAGCAAATTGAAGTGTAAAATATTCATTTTAAATCTAGTGGCTCCACCTAGTGACAAAAATTAAAAGAGAAAACTATGTTATATTGAAATTCAAAATTTAAACTTTAATGCATGAGATAAGATAATAGTAATCATGTAGTAAATAGTATTGTGTGATGATTTATTTCTGCCTTTTATAAAATTTAACAAATAAAATATTTTGTTAAGTGCATACAAGTCACACCTTGAAATTTAAGCATTTAATTTTCTACTGGAACCAAATTCTAATAATTGTTAAGTTTTTTATTCACTGTATGCTGTAGTGGAGTTAATGAATAACGCAAGACAATTAACTGAATGAGCTAAGAAGTTAATTGCATAGTCTGAAATTATTCATTTCTTAAACTTTAAAGTTTTTTGTTTTAGTATACACAAATTATGCATTATTAATTATGCATTCAACATTCTATTTGATCAAGTTTTTCTTAATTGTTAAGATATTTTTATAGACATAAAATGGATAAATGCAACAAATTGAAACTAGACAATAAAAAAATGCACTGGTATTTTAAAAAAATAATAAAAATCATGCCATATAATAAAAATGTAAAAGTGACAAAATCTACCTACCTCACTGAGGTTTTCATCCATGTATTCAGCAAAGTCTTTGAATAGTGTAAACTTTGGCTCTAAATGACTTGGAATGTTGGAATGACTGTAAGTGCTACTTTTACCATTTGTATCATAAAATTCCACTTTTCTAAAACAGATTATTATAAACAAATATTAATTGCTAAATTCACTCCAGTATAAAAAAAAACAGCAACATATCGTAAAATATACATTTAAAAAAAAGAAAATTATATTTCGACAACCATGCTATAAGAAGGAGAGGTGAAACAGTGAGAACCTTAAGTTCCATTTTTGGAGTATAAAATGCTTGCTAACCACTTGTTGGTCACATGTATTTTAAAGGGGGCCACAACCATGTTTTATGATTAGAAGCAAATATAATATTTCTGTATTCCTTATGATTATGAATGCAATAAAGTTGCAATGATAATCAATAATGAAAATTGAAGGCCAAGTGAAAAAACAATTTATGTCCATTTTTAACGTAAGCATTTTTCAGAAAAATGACAATTTAACTGTCATCTGTTGAATTAGATTTCATGGACATAAACCATTCTTTAATTATGCTATAATTATCAAATAAGGCAATATAAAAATAATACATCAGTGTATGTCTGCATTTTATGACAATATATAGCATTAAAAAAATTTTATCGACCAGCAGTAATATTCACTATAATTAGCTAGTTATAATTATTTCACTATCATTAATTAGCCATTATGTCAGATTATATAAGTCTTTAGAGAATGCAAAAGAAATATATAATCACTCAATAAAAATATTTAAAAGTAAATGCTCTCTAAATTAAGAAAATTATAATAGTAACTGAAATACTAAAACTTTCTATTAACTCTGATGGGAAATAGACAAAAGAACATTAAGAAAACTTACAAGAACACTTAACACAAACTTACAAAACTATTCTCAACATACAAATTTCATACAAATTTTAATTTTTCATCAAAAAAATTAAATTAAAATAAAGATATGATTACATTAGATAAAATTTAAAATCCAATATCATTTAAAAATTTGACTTTTTATTTACTTCTATAATTTATTTTGCACAAATTTTAAAAACTTCAAAACCAAAGCAGTTTTAGCTAATATTTCTTTAATAGTATCATCATACACAAATTCCTTTATCAGTTATGACAAAAAAGTAAATCAAAAAGTCATTAGAACAGGTATGCATAACCTAAAATCAGTTATAAAATTAAATATTTATCACTTTTCCTTAAATAAATGAAAAACTTACAATATAAATATAACTTCATAAATGATTAATACTATTTTTTAACAATAATATGTTGATTATAAAAGTGTATAAAACATATACATTATAAAATACATATAAGTATAAAACATTTACAGCAAAAGAAGCCTAAATTATCACATGCGATAGCTATATCAATGTTATAAGTAATCATCATTATCAGTGAAAAACTTAACTTCTGTTACAACCTTCGCCATTTAATAAAAAACAAAATTCTACTTGTCAAATAGTGAAGGAAACTAGTAGTACACAAGCCTTTAAGATATCAGAGATTTTTTTAAAACTTATATAAACAATCAGACATTCATTAAAAAAAGCAAAAATAACTTTCAAACTTAATAATTAATAATCTGAGATAAGAGAATAGAAGAAAGATTACATCAAGAGGCAAATCAAATTCCTAATTTTACTTTTATGTAAACATATCATTAAATTATTATGGTAATTTTTTTCAACTGAGATTTAGCTTAAATAATTATGAGTGCTCGATAACTTCATACTACAGTTCATAGATATTAAATATATGTATATTATGTATACTAATATTTATTAAATATATTAATATTTTTGTACTGCAGTTAATTATATAAAATATTTATGAATGCTTAATATCTTCATATAAATCTAACATGCTACTGTGACAAAAACATTAATAAGCTTATCATCTGTCAAAAACCAAACAGAAATACAATGAAGTTTAAATAGTTCAGAAAACTTACGATCGATTGGCAGACATGCTCATTCTTGTTGAATCATTAAACATGACTCCAAAACTATGGTTGGATAATTGGAAAGCAAATCCATATTTATTGGAATAATCAACCCATTTTGAAATAAAAGGACTTAAATTATAATTGAGTGGAGGTGGATTACTATTGCAATCTAAAATGAAAAAAAGTAAAGAACATATTTAAATACACAATCAAAACAAATTCTAAAAGCTATACTATTGACTTATAATAAACTGACAAAAAGCTGAAATTTTTTTAAAGCAATGCAATATAGTGATAAAAATTTGCAAATGATTGTCATTAGATAAAAGTTATATATCTTATAGTTTCAAATATTTGAATGTGTTTTTAAAGGAATTTTTTTTCAGATCAATATGTATGTAAAATTCATATTCTAATTCTTCTAATATTCTTAACATTGGCATTAAATTATATTTATATGTCTTATAGTTTCTAACATTAGGATGTATTCAAAGGAATTTTTTTCCAGGTCAATATGTAAATTTTATATTCTAATTCTTCTTATATTCTTAACATTGGTATTAAATTATATTTATATTTCTTATAATTTCTAAGATTTTAATGTGTTCAAAGGAATTTTTTTCCCGATCAATATGAATGAAAATTTTATGTTCTAATTCATTCTCAAAATGCTAATTCTATGAATTAAATAAGATATTTTTTCGCATACAACTGCGAAGAAATTTGGTCTATTCTGCTTCAAGTTAGAAAATTAACAATCGCCTAATTAAATAAACATACATTTATACATCTTCAATTTAGAAAAAAATATTTTTTTGAATAAAATATAAAACTTGACTTTTGACAAATATAAAGTTAATGTTGCATATCCCTCTGGAAGATTGATACACATAATGACATTTAAACATTTATTAAATTTTCATTATATTACATATATATTTGAATAGCTGAGCTTGTAGTAGAATTAATTGCATTTTTATGAATTTTAGGGTATTTTTTTATCCAACTAAGAATTCTTTAGTAAAATTTTTAATTTTATTAAAAAGATTGAAGTTACCTTGTTTTTCTAAAAAAATGCTACAATATTGTGACAGTTTTGCTATAATGATAATCATAGTTATATAGATAGTCTAATAAATANATTTTCAAGACTATATTTATAAATATATATATTCTTTTTTTAAGCAGAACTTGCAGCAGAAATGTATTAAATTTGAAAAATAATAATAAAAATAATGAAAAGTAAAGTACATCATATTAAAGAGAACACTTCACAGTTTTTAAATATAATACATATTATAAATGTTAAATATAATTATGTTATTCTCAGTTTATATAACTAATTATTTTAATGACAGACAGTAAAACAACGTTATTCTCAGTTTACCCACCTACTTAGAAATTAAAGTGACTGATTTGTGAGAAAAAGTCAATTGAAACAGTCAATAATATAATCGAATGATTTCAGATAGTTGCAGTTACGAAATTATCTAATTTTACAATGTATTAAATAAATATAAAGTATTTAGAAAAATGTAAATTTAAAATAGCCGACTATAATAAATCATAATAGTTTAGAAATAATAAAACTTTTTAGACAAAATAAAAGCAACACGTCGAATGACTAAATAAAATCAAATCTAAATATTCCATTCGATTAAATAGACATCAAAATCAGTAATGAAAAACTCATAAGAATTTTTTTTCTAATGTATACAGAGATTTTCAAAGCTATAAATTTCAAGTAAATGGGTTTGGTAACATAATTATCGATATTCAGCAATTATAATTTAATTTTTAAAAAATTCCCAGAGCACAAAATTCTCAAGTATTGTGACATAATTTATTATTTTTGTAACTCAAAATTATTTTGTTAAAAATGAACTTCAGAAACTTAATATTATCAAAAACATATTACAATTTTATATAACCTAATCCATGACAAGTATCATATATAACAAAAAAAAATGTATGTAAATAAATAAAAAATAAAATAAACAAATAAATAAAACTACAAACAAAATAATATATGTGATGCCCATCCTTTGTCAGATGATTTTATTTCAGTTCGTTTGGTTAGATCACTCTAAATGATGGCAAGGACTTTTCATGACATATAGTCAAACCCCGCTATAGTGAACCTTCAAAGGACCGAAATTTCGGTTCACTAAAACTGGGAGTTCACTATATCCGTTACGCAGGCAATTCAACTAATGGTTCCCAAACTCCTCCTTTTATTACACATTATTCAAATAAATGATTGAAAAATATTACGTAGTAGCAAAAAATGCGTTACTTTTTATTACTCTTTGTCTTGTGTACAAAAAAAAAATTTTGTAATCTTCAGCTGATGAGCAATCCTCAACCTCAGATACGGAAACACTTCCCGACTCTCAAATACTTTTTCCTGAATTTCTGTTATTCGGCTTTTTAAACCTGTCTAACCTGCTATTCGCGCACATAAAAGTATTACCATAAAATCGTTTAGCAAATTCATCGACATTTGTCCAGAGATTGCAGCTTCTTCGAATGGTGAACCACTTCAGTAATGCTTCCTTAACATCCTTGTGATCCGCTTTTCTCAACTTTTTTCTGCCATCTAAATTTTTTTCACGAGCAGAAATTATTAATTGATTTTTTTCTATATGTTAGAAACTGCAGATTTGGATAGTAAAAAGGAGTTGAAATGAGGGCCTTATCAACACATATTAGTGTCCAATCCTGTGAATAATAATGAATAATTACTCATCCCCTCTGACAGAAAATGCATATTGATCCCACTGACACCTTGCAGGCGCATCATCTGCCTGAGATGGAAACATCTGCTTGGTTTGTTTAGGGATGGGAAAGTGAGATAAAAGAAGCAAACACGAAAAAAAAATTTTATCGCTACATTCCCCTCTATAGATGGTTTTAAAAATCGGCATATGTATTTATTTTGAAGTAGAAATTTCAAAATTATCACACAAAAAATGAGTCGAAAACAGAAAGAAGTTCATTATATCTAACTTCCTCACTTTCTTAGTTCACTATATCCACAAAAAATAACATTATACGTGTATAGCAAGGCACGGGACCGAACATTTCGTTCACTATATCCGGGAGTTCTCTATAAACCGTGTTGACTATAGCGGGGTTTGACTATATTTATTTCAGAATAACAAATTAATTCAATTGGTTGAATGTAAATTTTTAAAAGTACAGGCAGTACATTAATTAAAAATACATAAATTTTTTCCTTTGAAATAGTAAAAGTTTACAAAAAAGTCATCATTAGCTATTAAATTCTGGTAAAATTCCAAACATCAGAAATACATTTCGTTATTAACTTTTGAATAGTATGAGATATAATTATAAATTTTTGCAGTAGTACAAAAGTGAAAATAAGAACAATATATAAGATTGCCATCTTAACTTACCTTCGGGTATTGATTCTAAAACATTTAATAACATATGAAACATCGAAGCAGAACTAGAGCTTTCTTTTGGTTTTTTGATAACTAATAAAAGAAAGAAAAAAGGAATTAGACAGTGAAGACATCGTTTCAGAATTTTGGAACACATTTTTGTTTTATTTTAAAGTATTCCAATGTTCCCTGTAATAGAATTAAAAATTTTAAGGTTTCCTAAAGCTTTTCCGAAGTTGCTATTATAGCTTTGAAAAAGTTGAAAAAATACTTAAAATTTTGGTACTTAGTACAATAAAAGAGTTTTAATAAATAAAAATTTAAAAATACTAATTAATAACCTTGTAAGTAATGAAGTTGAATTGTTATAATATCTGACAGGTTAATATGAAAGAAGAAATTTTTTTTTCATCTGAAACGAACCCTTAATATACAGTTTAAATCACGGACAAATGAAATTGCACATATTGTTAAAATACTACTACACAACGCTCTTTTAAAAATAAATACATCAAAAAGTTCAATGTTCAGGAAAAATTTAAATAAAACTTAGCAACAAATAATATTTTTACACAAACAAATTTGTCTGATAGGAAGTTCTCTCGAATTCTATGTAACATTTCTTTGTATGTAAAAACAGCGGGTTTATATATATACTCATACTTTTTTTTATTATGGTAAACATAAAATATTACTATACCCATACCTTTATCTGGACAAAGAACATTAGTCAGTTTTTGTCTGATAGTTGAAGGGAAACAGTTATCTTTTCTACAAGAACTCTCATCAGACTTTACATGAATCTAAAAAAAAGAACGAGTTTTATTTATTATTAAATTTATAAACTTAAATAAAATTATTAATGACATAATAAAAAAAAAAGAAATATTATTGGGAAAAATTTTCCGTTCACAATAAAGCACTCAAATGACGCTTTGTTTCGAACAAAAGCTACTTTTAAACTTATACATATTGGTTTCACTTTAACTTTTTAAACAATTTTAAAGCCTTATAAAAAGGATTAACATTAATTAGGTTTTAAAAGCAATACAATTTTCGTTTTCAATAGCTATAAAATACTGAAATTTACCTAAAATTCGATTCATTCAGGGATGAGAGTAGTTGAAAAGTAAAAAAGAGGAAATTCAAGAACGAATATATAAATATATATATATATATATATATACACATCAGACAAAAATTTGACAAAAAAGTGCAATTTTTAAACTTGTAAACCATGTGATTATAAATCCCGATCATTAATTTTGAAATTGTATGAATATATGAATATGAATCACATGCATGATTCTAAATTAAGAGAATATGAATCCCGAAATGAGGCTTTTAAATCACGTGAATATGAAACTCTATATCGAATTTAAAAAATGCGAAAATACAAATCATGATGCGTAATTTTTAGATCATGTGAACACGAATACGAATCCGACTGTCTAATTTTTAAAGCACGTATAAATAGGAAAATCGATGCTTGATATTACAACCGCAAAAACGAATCACGACATTGTATTTTAAGCTTGCATGAATACGAATCGCTACATAGGATTTTAAAAGCGCGTAATTACAAATCGCGATATTGGATTTTTAAATCTCGTAAATAAGAATCGCAATGTAAGACATTTAAATCGTCTGATTAAGAATCGCAACATTCAACTTTTAAATCAGGTAAATAGGAAAATCAATGTTTGAGGGAAGAATGAGGACTTCAATGCTTTCGCTTCGCGGAAAATTTAATTCCTCATAAAATATTTTAACTTGTGCAAGAAAAAAAAAATTTCAGGGGAAATTAGCGGAAAAAATGGAAAAATCTGAAAAAAAGCGGAAATCCACGAATCCGCGGAAGAATCACATCCCTGTTCAATAGAGAAGATGAAACTTTTTAACGATTAATAACAAACAATATTAATAAAAATTATATTTATGCAACACATATTTTATTTTTATCCAAAAAAAAATACAATTGAATAAAGTTTAAGAGCAACAAACTAAGATACTATGCATAGTTTATAGTATTAATTCTAATGGGTTATAACAAACACTATTAAAAAAATAATATTTATGCTACAACCATTTTATAGTGAATAAATCAGATTAAAATGTATAATAAATAAACTAGGATTGAATTGAAAAAAAAAGTAATAGAAACTAGGAAGTTTATAGAGATAGAGCATTAAAAAATTTAAAATCCATAAACAGCATGGAAAAAAAGATTCTTATTGTAAATTATTAAATGCAACAACTTTTTTCTAAATAATTATCTGAAAAAAGAAAAAAACTAAAAACAAAAATTTATGTTACAAAAATAAATAATAACTTTTTTCAATTAAAAGTTATATAAATATTTTAATTTTCTAAACTACGTACTTTATGTGTAAAAACTGAAATTTATATAGAAAGAATACTTAATTATACATGACTGTAGTCCTGAAAATCAATTAAACCGTAACATAATAATTTTTCAACATATCTTCCTAAACATTAAAAATAATTTTTTGCTAAGTACATTAAAAAAAAATCACATGCTTTTAGAATAAATGATATGACAAACTTATGTTTACAAAGAGTTATGAAATTAAATAAGTAAAAGATTTAAAAGTATACTAAAACACCAATAACTTAGATAAAGATATACCAAAAACATACAAAAGTATTAATGTTTTCAGAATAAACAATGTTAACCCCAAGGCAATATGATCCCTGTCACTGAAATTCTAACTAAAAGTAACTTAAACACTTAAAATTTATGAGATTTGTTTATTTTGACATACAGTTTTTAAAATAAATTAGAAGAAATTATAATATTACATTATAATATTAGCAACATTACTCAAAAATTACCTTAAAGTGTGTTATTTGGAAAATGAAGTCATATATGTGTCGTTATATAAAAGTGCACAATCTTTTTTTACAGCTTTTTAGAATCACAATATAATCAGTTTAAATATAATAATAAGAACTATACAAATTTACTTAAAAAATTTAAAGACAAAATAAATGAAAAATATTTCTGAATTAAAAATTAATTTAATTTTTCCACACCAAGTCTCTTTTATTAAAATTTAATTATAATATCTTTACAACTTTCTCTGTGAAAAAAGTAATATTTTTACTCTATGTAAATTACTAAAATCTTCCATTTTTAAATTAACCCTTTACTACATTCATGTTTTGGTTGAAAATGTTTTCTGAAAAAAAAAAAATTAAAGTTAAAAGGTTTAATCTTGAATTAAAATCTAATTTTCATTTTGCAATTTTGAAACAAAGCATACAGAAATTATTTAAAAAAGAACAGCTATGAAACATCCTATGGTAGCTAAATTGTGTCTCTCATTTTTTTAGTTATAAGATATTCAAGTTAATTTTTAGTTAAGCCCTACATTCACCATTTAAGTTTCCCATTTGGCCTCTGGGCCACAACCATAATTTGACAAAAAAAAAACAAAAAAAATTATTCAATGATGGAATATCAACTGATGGATTGTAAATATACCTTTGGTACATCTGGCTTTGGACTAAGTTGTAAGTTTACAACACGATTGGCAATTTTATCCACATCACGTTCACTGGAAGCTCTAAAAGTAAATACAATAGTTATTAAAACTTGGCAGAAAGATTAAAAAAAAGACTAAAAAAAATTATTAAGGTAGCATTTAACATAAAACTATTAGGTAGGGTGGCTCATCTTGGAACATTTTTTTTTGGCCTTAAATTTTAAATTATCTTTTAGCTCTTTTAGATTCAGATAAATGTTAGCATCATCTAACCTTGGAACATAATTTGAGTCTATTGATTAAGCAGGTAAGAATTTATTAAGATTTTTATTTTTGAAGCAAATTTACTTACTTTCATATTAAAGTTTAATTAGTTGTAGTAAGAAATTTAAATGAAATTATTTTTAATAAAGGATAATATAATGAAGTATGAAGCTTTCTCTTTAGAAGATATCAAATTTAATTGTTCTAATGCTAAGTCTAAAAGTATGACAGTTTAAAATTTCATGTTAGGTAAATAGTGCACCTTGGGACAGATAGAGGTGGCCCACTATAGACTACATATGCAAAACCAGTGGGACACTACATATACAAAATTAATCTTTATTAAAAATAGATTTTCAACGAAAAGATATTGTGCATGCAAAATATTTTTTAATTTATATTATCTGTGTTTATTAATAGTTAATATTTCTTATTTTAGGAACTCATTAGACTTAACTAATAACAAGAATTAGAAGCAAAAAGTATAAAAGTAATGCAGCAGTTCGTACTAACACTGCTGCAAGTTTTATCAGGGGAAACGACTTATAGGAAAGCTGCTGAATTCTACAGTATTAGTTAGACCACTCTGAACAGACATATTATTTCTTTAAAAAGAGAGAGCAGCCAAATTCTAACTTTAAAGGAAAAAACACGAAAATTTTGTTTGTTACATTAAAGTTGCCTCAAAACCTATCAGGCCCCCCATAGCAATAGAAATCTACAGAGAAATCGGACATTGAAATTTTTATATAATATCTGTTGTGTTATTTTAAATTGAAAATGAATTTTGACGACAATCTTACCAGGATATGGAGTGACGTTATGTTCGGAACAATAAGACATCTTTAATTCTAAGAGCTTCAAATAAAGAATCATAATTTTTAACAAATATTTTCAACATATTTAGCCCAAATAATACTATCTTTTCATAAATAAGTAAGAAATGTAGCTTATATGGTTTAAACATGTTTTTTTTCTTTGTCTAATTGTAATGTTTTAATTTTTAAAAGTGGATCGAAAGGAAGTACTGAAATATGAGCTTTTTGTTTACTTTTAAGAAAGGAACTTGTGATGAATCAATACGCTACTAATTGCCTATTTCTGTTAAAAAATTCATTAAACCAAAATCAGAGACCTTAAAAACAAACTAGCGTTCTCACTGCATTCATGAAGAATAACTCAAGGATATGCGAATGTATTTGCGTGCTAAAAATCGTAGGTCGCGTATGCGAATTCGGAGATGTGAACGAGAACCTTCAAAAGTGAATGTTGATAATTTAAATGAGGAAAAATTGTATAATGTATCCTCATTTACTTATGAAAAACTCGTATTGTATGTAGGTAGGTACTGCACAGTGTACTATTGGCGAAGGTCTAGGAAACATCCCAAAGGATGATCAAAAAACGCGACATCACAATTTTGATCCTCTACAGAGAGGATGGCTCCTCCGCTTAGGTAGACCAAAGACCTGTAAGTGAGGTCTAGCACTTTATGGTAGAACAGTTTAACGAAGACCGATACCCGATACCGCGCATCCTCAGTCCCAAAGCAGGCTGACCAAAATAGTCATTCTACTCGCTTACTGATCGCAGCCAGTGATGATTGACTTCGGTGTTCTACAGGGAACTGTGACTTCATGATTAGACCCCTGCGGGACACAACTACAAAGAGGGGATTAAAAAGCAGGATAATCAATTTAATAATTAATGGTAAAAATAGCAACAGCAAAAAATCTTGCAGAACAACGGAAAATCGTACTTACCGATAACAAGTTTTTGAACATTGTTGTTGTGCAAGCATTTGCGGCATAATTATTGCATATTGTGCGCTACCTCATCAAATGTAAGTCATTTCACAATCATAAAACTTAAATGCCTTAAATAATTCATTTGCATTTGAAATAAGCCCTTTTTAACCGATTGAATAAAATCGAAACAATTTTATTAAATAGAAATAGAAACGCGTGATGGGTAAAGCCTTTTAACTTGTTGGTTTTTAATGTAAACACTTGGAACTTTCAAAATTCAAAGGGATTGCTCAAAAAAAATTCTACAAGCTTTCGAGCATAAATTTTATACCACAAGTTTTGTCTATTACGTTTTGACGTAATCGAAAAGAGAACTTCTCAATCCAAGGTAAGTGTTATTTTCCTCCTTGCTTCTTTTGCTAATGGTGGAAATCAGTTCATTTTTCATCAAGTTTGCATAAATATCAAAATTAGTTTTTTTGGGGGAACAAAAAAGCGGCTAAGTAGATGTACATCTTGTAACGTTCGATATTGATAAGTAGCGGGAAAGTTTGACTTTTGATATGATTCTTAATAGTTGCTGTGAATAATTCTTCAATCAAACAACCACACAAATATCTCATTTTTACAATTAATACTAATTTGTGATTTTTTTATAGGGCAATATTGTAGAATAAATAATTCTTTAATAAAAAAAAATTTCTCACCTCCTAATAAATACACCAATTGGAAGTTTAGGAATAGTAACACAACATGTGGCAGGTAAAGAAGTTGGCAAATAACCGGAACTAAAAAATCTATGCTTTATTATTTCATCTAAAGATGGCCTGTCAGATGGTTTGCACTGCAACATTCTGACTACTAAATGGCGAGCTGGTTCAGACATTGAACTAGGAATTGTATATTTGTTCGTTGTTATCCGGTAATAGGTTTCATTTAGTGTGGAAGTTTCAAAAGGTGGTTGTCCTACCAGCATAGCATACCTGAGAATTAAAATGGAAGAAAATTAGATTTCACGCATAAATTGTTGACAAAAATCTATAGCAAACAAGGAATATTCATCTTACATAATACAGCCCATTGCCCAAACATCAGCGGCAAAGCTATGGCCTTGCATATTTAGAACCTCTGGAGCTATGTAATTCGGTGTTCCACAAACAGTGCTAAAAGAAAATTTCAGCCAAATTAAAATAACATTATGATGAAAATTTAATGAATTAACAACACACCGCACAAATTTAACTATATAAATTAATGATACTAATTACAATTCATTAAAAAATTAACAAATTATACCAATATAAACTCTAAATTATTTTAACATTATGGAATATAGTGTCATGAGTAATATAGTATTTAACATAGTATCAATATATCGCTTGCTCAAAGTTAAAACGACACTTCTACACTCACTTCTCATGTTATTTGAATGAGAAGTGAGTGCAGAAGTGTCGTTTTAACTTTGAACCAGCGATATGGCTTAACGCTTTAAGCAGAAAATCTCAACATATAAAAAATATAAGTAATGACGAATTAAAATAAATGAAATTAATAGATTTTATTTTAGGTTTCATGTCTAGAAAATATAATTTAGGTCATATAACATAGGTATTAACATAGTATCATAGGAGGTTTTTAACATAGTATTAATGTATAAAGAAATATAGAAAATGTAAACACATAATAAAATGTACGTAATGAATTTAAAAAAAAACGGGTTTAACAGATTTTATCTAAGGTTTCATGTGCAGAAGATATAATTTAAGTGAAATAATGGAAACTAAGAACGCGTGTTTCAAATTATAAAAGTATATTTTTCATACTTAGGGAATGCAATTTAATTAATAACTTCAAAACAGAAATTATTAATTAAAGGATTAAATAGAATTTTCGAAAATAAATAAAAAAAAAAGGGGGGATGAAGAAGAAACAAATCCAAACGTTGTTGAATCGATGCATCAAATGACTTAGTTTAAGTTATTAATTTTTTTAATTTTTGGGAAATTGTTATTGTTATGCGCAGTTCTGGTTAAGGAAGTGGGGGAAAAAATCCGAAATATTTAAAATAATTTTTGATGTAACGATCGGGTTTTCGAGTAACAGATGGCAAATTAATTAAAAGAAAGGATTAATCAAGTTATGAAAGCAGACACAAAACAGTAAATCCTCTGAATAAATTTCTGGAAAACTAATTTCAATTGCTTAGCTTGGGGCAGCAGGCAAAAGTTTAAGCTATATTTTTTTAATTAATTTATCTTACAGCATTATTTATTATAATGATATAAATAATACGCTTTAACACACCAAGTGCTAGTTCTAGCTTTCTCCGAACTTCCAATTAGTAGCGTTTCTGTACAAAAAAAACTAGTTTTCTCCACGTGGAGAAGGCAGCTGGGTAATTTCAGAACAATTCTACCCAAATGCTCTACAATTAATTATTATTATTTATTTTTTAAAAAAAATTCGTTATCACAAAATAAATTTTTATTTTCACTGCTCAAACTTGATTTGTTTCGGTCGAAAATGAAGAAACTATCTTCTTTTTCTTTTAAATCTGACATTTCAGTGTAAGAAATCAAACAAAAATGGGCATTTTAAACGAGTCATTCCTGATACGCATTAATGTTCACAAAGTTTCTACTTGCACAAAGTGAATGGATGTCTTACAAATATGTAATTTACTTTCTTTCTCTATCATACAGATTTTGACAAACGAGCCGATTTGAGAGACGCTAACTCTCTATATATTATAAACGCTTTCATCTAGTTGCACACAGAAACTTTACTATACCTAGACATCAATTTACTATACTTAGACAAAAATTCGAAAGTTAAGAGGGTAGATACGGAATTTTGTGGACCTGCATGTAATGAGGACGGCTGTAACGGAACACACCGTATGTTATAACATATACATTTGGGGCAGTGAAAACATTTTCTTCGTTAAAAAGGGCTTCAGAATGTAAGAATGTTCAGAATGTAATTCAGAATTTAAGAATAATGTTTCTAAATACTCACAATTTTTTACCACACTTATCGACATTTGAAATATGAGTGGCGAGTCCATAATCACCAATTTTCACTTCCATTTCTTCAGACAAAAGCATATTGCCCAGTTTCAGATCGCGATGAATTACTCCTTGAGAGTGCGTATACTGTACACCTTCAGCTAGCTGAAGCATGAAGTAGCGAACCTCAGGTTCAGTCAAGAACTTTCTGCTCCTCAGGACATGAACGAGAGACTAAAAAAAATAAAGCCAGCTTGTTAAACATAAAGTTAAAAATAAAATATCAAGTGTAAAAACACACAAGGCATAAATACCGAATGTTCCAAAAGTAACCAATATACACGCATGTCCATAAATTAAGGATAATTCAGAATCACTCGGAAATCAAACTCTAAAATTAAAATTTCACCTGTAGAATTATCACACATCCTGAAGAAGAATATGCAAATTACAGGAAACCACTAGATGACGCTGGTAGAACGTCACAATGGCGAGAGTGTAAGAGAGGGGTATATAAGGAATGGTGGCAAAGAAGTAAAATTGTTCACAAGCGCTTTAAAAGCCTTTCAGTGCAATAACAGCATAGTTATGGCACAAATGAAGCATTTGGATGATTTTTTACGTGGCAGAATCATCGGACGACTGGAATGTGGACGTACCCAGCTGGAAGTATTCGAGGAACTTGGAATCTCCCAGAGTGTCATCTCCAGGCTTTGGCAACGATTCCAAGATGATGGTAATGTGAGTAGACGTTACAGCACAGGTCGCCCCCGAGTTACAACGCCGAATGAAGACCGGTATTTGGCAGTTACTGCCAAAAGAAACAGACGGAGCACAGCATCAGATCTGTCTCGTCAGCTCTCTTCAGCTACCAGTATGACAGTTTCAAGGCAGACCGTGTACAGACGCTTAGGGCACATAGGTCTATATCCTCGTAGGCCTGTCAGATGTGTTCCACTTACCGCAACTCACTGTCGCCTGCGATTAGCCTGGAGTAGAGAGCATGCATTGTGGACACCGCAACAGTGGTCTTGTGTGATGTTTTCCGACGAGTCCAGGTTTAGTTTGCAATCTGATTCTCGCTGGACTTTCATGTGGAGAGCGCCAGGTACCTGTTACCACCAAGACAACACCATTGAACGACACCGTTACGGTGGTGCAGGATGGCTCGTTTGGGGAGGAATAATTTTGGTTCCAGAACTGACCTGCATGTTCAGAGTGTAACGATGACAGGCCACATCTATAGGGATGTCATTCTGGAACAACATGTACGCTTGTTTCGGGGCGCCATGGGTGCTGAATTTCTGTTTATAGACGACAACGTCCGTCCTCACCGTGCAAACGATACTCAGCATGCCTAGGTGTTGTACGGCCTGTATTGCATCGTCCGGGAGACATACTCCGTATTAACCATCATACTAACCATGTTATACTGTTTTTTGTACATAGGTTCTTTTTTGAAATTTGCTCCAGGGAGTAAAAATCGCAATTTTTATTAATTATGTCAAACATATAGCATCTTTTTTGCTCTTTACCTTTTGTTTAATACATAGACTTTACAAATAAGTCAAATTTGTTTGGCTTCTGTCTCTTTCTGTGCTCGAACTTCATTATCCTTAATTTATGGACATGAGTGTATTTGAAAAATCAATTCAATAGCAATAAGAAAGGAGATAGAAACATATAATTTGTCACCGTCTACTAAGTAAACATAAATTTCCTGACGAAATTCAAAATTAGTTTCAAAAATTGCCACCAGATGGCACCGTTCACTAAAATAAGCTGTAAAACAATGGCGATTTTTTTCTTTTTTGTTATTATTTTTTTATTGCTGTTACTCAGATCATTCCAATTTAAATTATTCAGGTTTCTGCTACATTTCAGAACGTTATTATGTTAGGGCAAATAGCAAAGGACTGAACATTATTAAAACATTATTTTGTGGTTAATTTTCACCAGCAGCGCTATCCGTTGAAGAGCTTCAGAACTAATTTTAAAACTTGATGGAAAAGAACCTGATTGTCCTAAGTAGATGCTACAAACCGTACATTGAGCGCAAAAAAAGGGACCATTTTGAGTAACTTTTGATCTAATGATCGAATCTTCCCGTTCTAGGACTCAATCTCAATGGCTCGAGGGGGTGACCTTAAATATGCTAATTAATAAGTGCAGACGATATTTTAAATTACGAAATCAGACACAAAAACGTTCTTTCTCTGCATAGAAATACTTTTTTCGACGGGATCAATCCAAAATATAGTGGGCAGCGGCAGTCTGGAAAATATGGTCTCCATAGTTTAGTCAGGTGAACGATCCAAAGTTTGGACTAACTAATGTTATGACATTATTTACCTGCAAATTATTAATTTATTCCATGTGTATCTGTAGTTAATTGTGATATTATCATTTCGTCTTAACATTGTTCTCTGTTATTATTACTTTCTTGATTTAATTTTTAGAATTATTTCCTGATTTGCACAAATATAGTTTTCAAATTAAAAGTGTTGTTTCTATATAATACTATAATGCAATCGCATGACATTACCTTAATGTGTGAGACTTACGACAAAAATCATTAGTTATTTTACTTTTATTAAATGATATGTTAGTAACTTTTTGTAGAATTGCTCAATAATTCTTTTGGAAAAAATTATTTAACAAGTTTTTATAGTAATCAAAAATTAAATCAAAATTTAAAAAAAAAACAGTACAACGAGAAAAAAGTATGGTCAAAATTACCCGAATGTGGTAAAATTTACCATGTTTCTGACAACATGGTAACACCAAAATGCACGGTTATTTTTAAAGAACCGCCTTGGAAATGATTTGGGTGAAATTAAAAATAAAATATAGCTTTATAATCTGTGTTAAAATTCGGTAAAATTTGTTATTATGATACCATAGAGCATGGTATAAAAACCATTTATTCGGTTAAATTTACTTTTCAATTAATACTAAATGTTTGGTAATAAGGACTATAAGTTTAAAAACAAGAATATCTGGTAAAACGCTACCACACGATTAGGAAAATTACGAAATGAATGGTTTGAATGACGTATATTTCGGTTTTATTACCAATATTATTTCCACCAGAAATATTTTTACCATACAGTGCGATAATTTTGCAAAAACATATTTTTCGTGTAGATGAAATTATAAAGTTTAAATTTTATCCCGATAAAATGAGAAACTAAATATGCAAAGGCAAATATGTGTTAATACAATAAATAATTTTGGTATCTTTAATGGAATAATTTTTAAGTTTAAGGTAATAATTTGTTTACTGTCAAAAAATAAAATGATCGCGTGGGTGGATGAGCAAAGCGAGGCGGGGGAAGAGCCACTTAATTTATTATCGGGTATTAAATTTCAGAATCTCAATAATCAAATAATTGCGTTCTTCAAACCAAGTAAATTTTACATAATGCAAAAAGGTCCCATTAGCTTTTTTATTTTTTATCATTTTACAGCATTTTTAAGAAACTGTTTTATAACTTAAATAATCCTTAAAGAAAATGTTCAAAAGAAACTTTTTTTACATTGACATTTTGATCTTTGTTATAAAAAATCTCTTCGTTTTCTATTGAATAGGACAATAATGACTTATAAAGTAAATAGCGAAAAACGTTTTTCTTCGAATTCACTTAAATTCTTCAACTAAGAAAAGCAAATATTATTTAAATAGAACTTAATATAGACAGAAGAACCCTTAAGGAGATTTATTTTATATTATTTGAAAAGATTCCCCGTATTTTCAAGGTAACTAGATTTTACGTAAAATATAAATGTTCTAAGTTTTATAAAGGACAAAATGAGATTTCAGCCATTTTTGTTTGAATACAACTTGGAAATTTTTTTTTATCTTCTGTTCAACAATTGTAAACATTTTATTTAATTTCTAATTAAAAAAAAGAAGATAACATTATGAAAAGCAATTTTTATAGTAAATAAATACGAAATAATCGGTAAAATTATATATAATAGAAAACATTTTTAAATCATTCTTGAAAAATTTCCCGTCCATGTAAGTAGATCTGATTTCGCTACTCGCTTTATAGTCCATTTTTTTATACTGTTTCTTCTTTTTATTTTATTTTATTTTCTGTATTTACATGTTATTTTTACTTTTTGTGTTCTATTTTATTTGTTGTAATTTTTGTAAAAAAAATTTTTGAGTGCTTTTCACACTATTGTATTAATATATTTTGCTTTGGTTTTATTGATACAATATCAGAAAGCACTCTGTTTTGCGGATATAATCGTGTGGGCTGATGGAAAGATTATATCTTTTTTTTTCCGTTTTTCTAAAATAGAATTTCATTCTTTTTTTTCATCTTTTTTTTTTAAACTGTTGTTAGTTATTTTTTTACTTATTATTTCCCCCCTTTTTTCATATGTCTATAATTCTTCTTTGTTTTATCTTCATTTTGAACTTATATATATATATGTATATAAATATTAGATCAATCTCGATAGTTGTAGAGGATGTCCTGAAATATCCAAATTAATAAGTTGAAAAATATTTTTTAGATGGATATACTGATTTTTTTATGTGAGCGAAACGTTTCGGTGATATAACGAAACACGTTAAAAAAATATTAACACTGAGGGGCTCAAACTTTAAACAGCTTCCCTGTCCTTATTCGGATCATATTTTTAAGTTTTTGATCGAATAATGTGCTTATGAAAGGCTAGAAATCCAAATCCGCAGCAAAAAAAAAAAATATAGGTATAGTCGAAGAAATTAGATTCTTGTACATGATTTCGCATCTTAGTAGCCAACACTAATAAATTCACATTTTTGTTGTCAACTTTTTAAACCATTGAAATCGTCCCTTAATAAGTAAAAAATCTAAACATTAGAGCAAAATTTATTAGGTGTGATATCTTTTTTATTTGGTTCACTGTATAGTTTAGTCATAATAGATCACTTACCTGCCAAACCGACTGTATGGAGTATTTCAGAGATTGTAAAGGCAATTTGCATTAAAAGTATTTGCATTAGAAGAACAAAGAAAGCCTTCACGGTCAGCTCGACGACTAACTCACGATATTAGCAGAGTTATTAGAGCACATTGGGAGTGTGTTAATAACAATATTTAAGACAAGAAGAAAAATTAAAAAAAAAAAAGAAAGAAAAGAAAACAACCAGTGTCGGAAACAGAAGCAAGGTCTTCACCTAATCCTGAGCCAATTCATTTTCAGGACCTCTATATATTTTCTTTTATAACCGG